CTTCTCCTGGCACCCGCTGCTCATGGCCCTCGCGGTAAGTCCCGCCGCCCCCCACCTGCCCTTGCCGCCCCCCTGGCTGCACCCCTGCCACGGGCACCTCCCTCGGGGAGAGGAAGGGGCCCTGCTGGCGGAGAGCGCCCGGCGCAGAGGAGAAAGCCCCTCTGCTTTCCGTGGGTGGTGGGAGGCTGAGCCCCGGGAGACCGGACCCGCTGCCGGTTCTGCCCCCGGCCGTGGCGGAGGGGTGGGGACAGCCGGTGCCAATCCCCCTGCCCTCTGTCTCCCAGTTCTCGTTCCTGATGACGGAAGCCCTGCTGATCTTCTCCCCGGAGACCTCGCTGCTCCGCTCCTTCTCCCGCAAAGTCAAAGTGTGGGTGCACTGGGCCCTCCAGCTGCTCGCCCTCCTCTGTGCCCTCCTGGGGCTGGGCATCATCACCTACAACAAGCACCTGAACGGCAAGGCCCACTTCGTGACCTGGCATGGCCTGACGGGGCTGCTGACCGTGCTGTACGCCAGCGGGCAGTGCACAGGGGGGGTGCTCCTGCTCTACCCCAAGCTGATGAAGAACTGGACGCTGGCCAAGCTCAAGCTGTACCACGCAACCTCAGGGTTGGTGGGCTACCTGCTGGGCTGTGCCAGCCTGATGCTGGGCATGTGCTCCCTGTGGTTCACCACCTCGGTGACCAGCGTCTCCTGGTACCTCGCCATGCTGTGTCCCCTTCTCACCAGCTTGGTTATCATGAACCAGGTGAGCAACGCTTACCTGTACCGCAAGCGGAGCCAGCACTGAGGGCCCAGCGCAGATCCGAACTTTCCCTGCGCGAGCTGGCAAGGACGGGGCCCCCCCCTGCAGCCCCCCGTGGGGGTCCTCTGCTTGTACAGGGTCTCCTCGGTACTAGATTTCTACCTACTTGTCTCTCGTTAGCCCTGGATTGTCCATAGTGTCTCATCCCCAGGGAGCGGCCATGATATGCGTGACACTGAGCAGGCAGGAGCTGCCCATCTCAGTGGGGACGTTTCCCAGCGCAGGTAACGCTGCTGGTCCCCACAGCAGCTTGGTGCTCAGTGCCGGAAACTGGAGGGTTCACTCAGGATTCCTGCTCCTCTTCCCTTCCCTTGCCACCCAGGGCTGCTTTGGAGCAGGCAGGACAGGAGCTGTCACGTTCTTGGCGAGGAGGACAGGGAGTCCCCGCTCACCCAGGAGGCCGCAGGGGGCCCCGCGCTGCCTCTCCTGCCACGAGGGCAGCTTGGCCAGTGAAAGCACAGGGCACAGTTGTGGCTTCAGCCCAGCTGAAGCGGGGTGGCAGCACCCAAGGCATCCATCCCCACGGTGCAGCCCCACGCAGGGACCTGGCGGCTCCCTGGGACTGGTGTGGTCAGCCCTGCCCAACAGCCACAGATCCAGGCACCCATAGCCACGCACAAATCCTTCCTGCAGGCTGGGACAGCGAAGCTTCAGCCTGGCAGGAGGTGGGGGTCGTTTTACAGAGCAAATTACCAAGCTGGACTGCAAACCGGCAGTCTGCGAAGGCGTTTTGTCCCTCTGAGGGGCACAGGGAACAGTGCGAGCACAGGGGGAGCAGGGCACCGGGGGAAGCAGGGCTCGGGATGAGCCCTCAAGCCAGCCTGCGAAACTGCCCTAGGGAAGGCAGAAAGCAACTTCCTCACCTCTCCGGCACAACAGCCTTCCTTCCAGCCCACCTGCCAGCGGGACAGCCGGGCACCGTGAGGCTCTTGTCTGCCACAGTGGCCCCAGAGCTCCCCTTTGGCACATGTCCTGCTCTTGGCAGAGTCAGAGAGCTGGGAGCAGCCCCCGGGCTGGGAAATTCCTCTGTATCCAGAGCTTTTACTCAATAAAGATTTCAGGCAGCTACAGTGCGACAAGCCCTCTTTACTGCCTGGAGGGGCTTCTGGGGTGCAGGCAGACATCCTCTGCCCTGCAGCTTTCCCAACTCCTCCTGCTTGCAAAGGGTCTCTCCCAACCTGCTGGCAGCACCTGGGAAGAAAGCCCCTCCCCAGGCTCCTGCGCAAGAGCCCCCGGGGGCTGCTCTGTGCCTGGCCCCCCCCACCCTGCCCGTGCTCTGCTGCAGGAGCCAACTATTTCGAAGAACTCTTTATTGATACCGAAACATCTGTGTTTTTCCTAGTTGACAAAACCTTCTCGTGTGGTCCTTTAAAAAAATAATCATGACACCATCAACCCATGTCCTGGGCTGCGGACTGCCCGGGGGATCAGGAGCTGTGAGGAGGCTGTCACAGGGAGCATCCTCTCCATCCAGGGAAAAAATAAACAGAAAAAAAGCCCGTCAACATGGAGGAAAAAGAGAAGGGGGAGCCCATATTCTACCCACAGGAAAGAAAACCTGCTGCCAGAGGAAGCAGCGAGAGCCCCACCATAAAAATTAATTCCAGCTTCTAGTGTAATCTGACAAATGGATTAGCCAGGGAGCGGCCGAGGGCACCGGCTCCTTGTGGGGCTGGCTTTGGGGGCAGGAGAGGGGGGAGGAGGAGAGAACCCCCATGCGCAAAGCCCAGAGCTGGCAGTGCTGGACCACTGCCCTGTGGGGCTGGGCAGCCACCTCCTG